CAGTTTTCAACTCGTAACATGTTTTTAAACTCGTACGAGTTCAAAACAGCCTCCCCAGCCTCCCCAGCCACCTCCTCAGCCTCCCCTATACTATATTACAGCATAACACAGTTTTCAACTCGTAACATCCTTTTAAACTCGTACGAGTTTAAAACAGCCTCCCCTATACTTTATTGGAACATAAGACAGTTTTCAGCTTGTAACATGTTTTTAAACTCGTACGAGTTCAAACAGCCAATACTAGATGCACGTAAGCGTTTTTCATCTCGTTACGAGTACGAATTTAACATGAAGTCCCATTTCTTAGCATCACCCAGAAAATACATTGGTAATAATTTTCTACGATCCTCCGATCTTACACTAGCAGTTTCAAACATTTGTTCGACATCTTGTAACCATATAATTGGATCTTGTTCATCTGCACCTGTGAATGATTCTGGAGATTGCGCTCCTTTTAACAATATTTGACTTGATAAATTTGTTGCCGTTTTTAATTGTTCCCGCTGTTGTCTTTTCTAATTTTTGTTCATAATTATCCTAACTCGCTTGCGCCTGCTGTTCGGTCGTATTCTTCTTACCCTTGATAACGGAACCTAAGTGAGGGCAGCGTTTCGCCTCGTTCGTGGAAAAGCGGCTGCCAGATATATCATGGATAAGCCAAGCATAAGGAAGAAAAGTAGAAATTTTTTTAAGCATGAGAGAGAAAACAACGTAACGCTCGTCCGCACTCGTTTCTCTTGACTTTAGGAACTTATATCTGTAAACCAACCTTCATGACTTTGATTAGAAAAAAACACTCACACCTCCGTTCGGTGGGTGTTCGCTAGAGACTATCTACAATGCGTTATGAATATTTCTCTGATTCGATGTGTGAGCCTCATAATGTAGTTTAAATCTTTAAAAGTTTTCTCGAGACCAATGAGGGGGCGGATATCCAAATCTGAGTAACCATCTGTCCGATAAGAAAGCTACGTATCCCAGTAGATGTACCATGTAGAAAAGCGCCTAGCATCCAGACGCCCCCGAAGTTCGATGTAGGGTGGTTGCCCGGTAAAGTCTTGCAAGTCGTCTATTGAGATTAATTGTTTTGTTGTTAATTACATTAATTTTGGGTACTAAGATTTGTTCAATTTAATTTTAGATTTGAAATTAGTTGTAGCAAATATGTTCAAAATCAATTTGCAAATAAAAATTAGTGTTGCTTAAATTTTTCTCAACAAAGTTAATTCAAACTAATTCCAGGATGATCAAATTAATGTGTATGCCGCAGGAGAAATTAAAATTCAGAACAATTTAAAATTATTCTAGGCGAAATTAATTTTAGTTTTTTCTAAACAAAAATGTTAAAGTTAATATTAAATTATTCCTGTTGGAAAAATTGAAATTTCGTTTGATATCAGACTGACTAGACAGCGAGAAAAAGAGAAACAAAAATCATGCACATAACTGAACAAAAGGTTCAATTTATTTTGTATTTAACTGTTGGCTCTGCACTTTAGTTTTGTCTATAGATAAACATAAAATGCAGAAATTCTCTACAGAACGAGAAATGAAAATATATCAGAAGAGTTTCTGTCAGAATGACACACTCTATTTTACCTTCACCGATATGCTCATTTTATTCAAAAACTGAATGACGAAAAACTGGACTTGAGATATCTGAAAAAAATTCTTGTTCTTCGTTGATTTTTTGATTTAGACGGTAGAGTCAGTACTGGCGAGAATGGTACTGCTAAGCTTTAATCTATTGGCGTTTGAGATGCTGGACCTTTAAAACATTTGTTAGATTATCAACCATCGATCAAAAAAAAATCGAGTTTGCTGATGGAAACATCATTTAATCATGTGAACGATTTTTGTTTCCCCCTTTCTAGTCAATATGGCATCAAAGGAAATTTCAATTATTCCAATAGGAACAAATAAAATATAACCTTAATATTTCTGTTTAGGAACATTTAAAGCTTTCCTTGGAAAAGTTAAAAGAACGAAGTCCAAAATCCTGCAGAAAAATCGGTTCCTCCTCAAAATGTTTTAATTTCGATGTAGATCGATAGAGAATTCAATTTGATGTACCGTCCAAAATGTTCATAATCCTATTAGAGAACATGGGGGAGAGCTGGGAGACATCTCATTTTGTAGAGAACTCTTTACTCTACAAGACTGACTTTTGAAATGTTTATGACGTATCGAATGGAAGGGGGAAAAGTTTCGAAAGGAAAAAAATGGGTTTTTTTCAGCGTAAAGTAACAATCCTTAAAAATTTCGTATCCTCTCAACGGAGGATCCTGGAAAGCTGGGAGCGATCTTATTTTGTAGAGGACACTTTACTCTATAATGCACAATATTTAACTCAAAAATATAAAATAATTCTAAAAGTGTCTGAAAAATGTCTTCCCTTTAATTTGCTCGGACGGTGCACATTAGGATTTGACAATATATACACCACTAAATAGAGCAATCTTCCTCTACAAGGTCATACATATCCCATTTTGGGTTCAAAAACTCACAGTCACCTTTGTTCTTGATTACTAATAATTGTTGCATGCTGCCTAGCCTATGATATTTTTGTTACGTGCCGTTTGTATGAACTTTTCTTTTTTTATAATTGAACTTAACTTTATTGAAAAACGAAATAATTAATAACAATTATTTTTTTCTTCTGTGTTATCCGCGATGTGTTTTATATTTTTATACGCTTTGTAGTTAAATCCAAAGCGTATATGTACGTTTCGTTTCAGATTCTCATTAGAAACACTGTAGACAGATACACAACTAATTTTCAAGACCCTTTCCTTACAGGCAAGAGAATTTCAGATAGTGATGCGCGTGCAACTTCCGCTTGCTGATCAGTATTTAGATTTTCAGTTATAAAAGATCAAAATGGTAACGAAGCAACAAAAAATAGAGAATTGGAAAAGTGCACTTTCAGTACTGCTATGCGTGACACTATGGAATTGTTATAACTTCACTAGTGACTAAACCTTTAGTGAGAAAGCTTTTGAAGCTACAGTCATTTTTCTGAAAACTTTTCTCGGGATAGTGCGGGATCCGAAACCATTTCACTAATCCCAGTTCAGAAGTGGACGAAAATGTTTTTTGGGTCCGAGTTCTGGTACTCAAGGACGGAGGCGATCATCTGATGAAATCGGCCCATGCCTGAATTTCATCGACTAATCAAAGACTAGATGTAGAATGAAGAGAAGAATATTGTACTTAGTAGACCTTAGAACCACTCTCAGAAAAAAATTGATCAATCAAGTTTCTACTACATCTGATATATATTGTGAATCGTTTAGATCTGTCTCTCTCAGTTTCACAATTCCTCACTACTATTATATATCATTCGAAAGCGCTTTTCCTTCATTATATTCTGTATGTCACATATACGGAAATAGCTGTTCTGAGACCGAGTATGTTTAGAAATACTTCTAGCTATGGAAAATGATCTCCTACGTACAAAAGTCTCAGATATTCTATGTCAACAATTCTCATTTGGCCACTACAATAAATACACCATTCGATAGAGAATTTGTCCAGCTACGGTTTGATATATCTAATATATCTAATATATTGAAGTAGAAAACTCAAACACATTCTAATACATTAGAATCTAACGTATTATAACGGGATAGACAAATCTAATTGAGTTGTGACGAGATAAAAAACTGAAACGCATCCAAATACTATATACAGTTGTAATGTAATGTAAATTTTTATCCAGCTACAAACCATAAATTCCTGAGAAATAACTTTGCAACGCTTTATAACACACTGCGTCTATCGCGCTATAATGAGATAAATCTATAGCGTTGTAATACCATAATTTAAGAAAAAGCATGTTTTATAGCGTTATAACGCTATAAATAGGGAAAAATTGGTCGTGCGTGAATTTTCTGAAAAAATATTGCTCGAATACTGAATATCATCTTATCTTTCATTGAAGAACGTTCTTGCGTCGAGCAAAATAGATTTTATCTGAGAACTCAGGATGTTCTGGGACGGTAGAAAGAGAGCCAGGACGAGAGTTGCATTAAGTGTCATGCACTATACATGTGCTGTATATCGACGCACATTTTGACAGAGTTTGGCGAAATCTGGCGCTTTGAAAACTGTCGGAAACTTCTTACACTGATCACACGTCTGGCTGGAAGACACGGTAACTCGGAAATTAAATTTGTTTCTCCGAATACTATAAGTCCAAACTAAGAAAGTTTTTCGTGAAATTAGTCAAAAAAAGAACGAAGGTTCATAATCTGTGCCGTTTCTTTGAACTTGGGTGGCTTTAATAAAAGAGATGCATATCGTACGCACTGAACAATTTTGAGGCCTTAATGTACATTAAATAAAATTAAATCTCTTTTTAGTGCATTCATCAAAAGTGGGTTTTCTAGCGCACTTGTGCAGTGCTTATAATGCGTTATAATGTGTTCATCTTCAATGCATGCTCATACATTAACAAACTATAACTAATTAACATATACTTTTTACGCATATTATAATTTCAATGCAGTAGCACTCATTTATTTTTCAAATGTGTGCTAATGCGTTGCGGCTTTATAATGTCGTAATACACATTATTGAATACAAAAAACGTTTTAATGCTTTGTAATTCCTCCAAAAAATAACGCATTACCTTACGTTAATCGAAATAACGTATATTAACCAAAGAATAGCAAAACTACGAGTGATAGTCGTTTAAAAAGTCCGATTTTAACAGATTATCATCGATTACCTTCCATAATTCTATTATAAACCCTTAAAATAGCTAT